GAAAAATGAGTACTTACTTTCTCCATCTAATGAAATATTAATATGAATAGATTTTTAGAGGTCCTGTGTGTTCAGATCAAAGACGAATGTTATTGCTTGCACTTGCTCTAATGTGTCGTAAGCTTTCTGTTAAACGCTTCTGACACAGTTCAAGGTGCTTCGGAGATAATGAGCTTCAAATATTGCGAAGATCCATCACATGGAGATAGATGGCGCCTCATTACTGACTCAGGAATTTCTAAGAAAAGATTACAGTATGTGTTTGGAATAGGTTTATGTGGCAAAATCAGTGTGGAGAGAAGGTCACATACGCCACATAAAACCAATGTCATAATTATATTTCTTATATAACTCAAAATTTTAACTATATTCTAAGTAAATGATTGACAGTAAACCTCTCGCCGTTCTTTAAAACACCTGGATGGCCATTAAAGTAGGCTGCACTTAAAGTACAGTTAGCTGAATATCATACTTACTGTATTTCTATTTTATACTATACTTCTACTACATTTCAGAGAGAAATATTTTCCTTCCTCACATTATGTGATAGCCATAGATAGTTAAGTTAGGTTCTGGGTTAAAATTTTACATATTAATATCAAATATTATATAAAATGAATACAATAATAGGGGCAGCATCTGATTTGAAGTCAGACGTTGGTGTGTTGTTGCTGTTTCACCAAAGTCCTCAGATGTTTTCGTTAAAATAACTGTTCAAGGGCAAAAACTGTAAAATTATGTTGACAACAAAAGCAGGGATCAGAGAACAGTCTTTAAAATAATATAAATTCACGTAGCTGTCCTACTCCTTTAATCTTCTCTCGACCCTTGCGCTTTTTGTTCATAGGTTGGGAACCACTGGAGTAATCTAAATAGCTCCAGATGCTACAACACTGAAATGCTGCTTTCACACTGATCAATATTAACAATCTAGTAATGTAAAATTGGTGATAGGGGCATTTTTCTGCAGAACATATACTTCTGCTTTTGAACATTTAAGCATATTTTGCTTATAATACTTCTGTTCTTTAAACCTATTTGAATGCAGGACTTTTACTTGAAAGGTTTTTACACTAAATCCATTAAATAAATGATCCGAGTGCTTCTTCCCACTGATGGACCTGAGCAAAAACTGCAGTCTTGCAAACATTTAATCTGAAATGCTGCGTGACTGTATCTGCTACCACAACAGATACATCAGACAGATCTCAGACCGATACTGCACATAGACAAGTCGTCTTTATGAACAACATCATCAATACAGTATGCATTTAGTATAGAGTAAGAGACTCTTATTACAGTGGTAAGATAGTTTGTCTATATATATATGACCTATATTTAATTTAAAAGCATTATACATTTTTATTTTTGATTCTACACAGTAACATATGTGACTATTCTAAGGTCTCAATATTGGTCTCGCCATATTAAAAAGGTCAAATAACAGTAATAAAGTGTAAAATGCTTGCACACCACCAAATGTTTCTCCTGGTGTTTAATCATGAAAACAAAAAAAGGCAGAAAAACACCATATACAGACAAACATGTGCTTAAGAACAGAATAAATAAAACATATTAAAAATGTAAAAGGAGGGTGAAACAAGCATCTTCATTTATCATCCTACTGTTACGTACATTTGGAGTGTTTGAACACATTCATACTGACAGTACAGCAGCCGGCAGATTCAAACAGCATTTACAAGTCATTTTTAGGATTTGTCTGGGGAGCCAGAATCATCAGGGGTGAGTTGTAGCAGAGAGTTCACACACTGACACTAATTCAAGGTCCTTCTTGTGTAATTTCTGTGACTGGCAACCTATTTGATTATCTGAAAGCTCCTGAAGCAGTACAAGCCTTTGTGTGACTCAAAGATAATAACCAGCGCTAAAGAATGATATGTAAACATTGTTTGACTCTGGTCAGCAGGAGACAGGCAATCAAATGCATGAGAAATAGTGAGGGAGACTCAAAGAAGGGGTTTCCAAAACTCACCAAACCTCAGAAATCAAAACTGTTCCAAACAAACAGTAGTCAGAGTTGGGGTGAGTGTTAACATTTAACCTCTGAGATGTTTATAGACTGCACTCAGTGACATGTCACCAAGCCAACAAATCTTTTCTAACAAATCAAAAAAGATAAAAAATTAATGTTCTTAAAAATCTGTCATTCTGGACTGAGTGAGTTTTGGAAAACCACTTCTCAGGCTTTATTTAATCATAATGTTTCTGTAGTGGTGTTGGAACAAACAAACCCAAATTAAGGGGGATGTTTGAATTTAAACTGAATCATATACAGTAAGTGCTTAAAGGTGATGATTTGCAGCTCATCCAACAGTGCAACTTGCTGAAAAAAAAGAGTATTTCCAGATTAATCACCTATTGTTTTGTTTTTATTGACAGGATGCTGGCATCTGGACACTTTACACTGTGGAGTCGATTTGAAAAACCAGCAGGCCGTCACTTTTAAGCACTTGGTCCGTTAGTAGCGCCGTGTGATGTCTTGTCAGCGTGGTCATGGGGTCATGCTTTCCGGCTCCTCCTCTATCATGTCTTCCTCCTCCACTTCCTCAGATATTGATGAAGCCTCCTTGGTCACTGCTCACTGACTCTGGCACTACACAGCGGCCCCTCCTCCTGGTCACGCGCCGCTTCCGGTGGAATTTAGCGTAACAACGAAACCCTTGAATAACAATAGAAATAATTTTTTTTTAAACCGCTAAGTGAATGCAGTAGATTAGACGTGGAAACAGCTAAACGGGCAGAGATACAGTAACACATACTGTAAAAACCAGTGCTTTGGGAGCGGTTCGTGTACTGTAAACCTAAACTCATCAGATGCACTTGATCACTTTTATATATTGGCAAAAACTGACCCCAGAGTTACAGAACATCTTTACAAGTAAATCAACTTTTATTACCACTGGGATATTTTCTGTTCATCATTCTGCCACTAAGTTTGGCAACTCCAGGGACCCTTGCCCATCACCAGACTTTATTTCTTAATAATTTAATTTCTTAATAATAAACAGTGAAACCTGAGGAAATGGCTCAGAAAAGATGAACTGGGACTGACTTCTTGTTACTTTTATAATTCATCACCGTGGTATACTATGACCTAATGTTCTTCTCGCTTACCTTCCTCACACATGCAGTCGTCGTAGCATTTGTTGTTGAGGCCTCTGTTGTGAGGTTTACACTCGTGTTGTCTCAGGTCACAACAAGAACCTTTAATGAAACAAGAGCAAAGCACTCAGCAACCACACGTGTGATGTTCCCTTGTAAATAATTAATATGAAACACTGAAAAACAAATAGAAGATCTTATTTAGAGGAAATAGTCGAGAGCGGCCCGTATGTTGCAGACTGACCCGGCAGACAGTCCAGGTGGTGGTCGCACGGCTCGATGGCATCGGCTTCTACAGTCACATTCCCACTGCTGAGGTTCTTACTGCGCCTCTTGTCTGCAGAGGAAACAAAAGCAAACAAAATGAAGCTAACAGCTTCTGATCAATACAATGCCTCAGCAAACTGATTGATTGATTGATTGATAACTCATTTACAGAAGAATTGTGCTTTTCTATCAGTTATATTCCACTGACAAAGTCATTGTTGAGCTCTTTTTTTTTGTAGCCCATATCTGAAGTGCAATTTTAACTTTTCAACACAGGTCAGATATTGATTATCTCTAGAGAGTAAATTCAGCTTGATGTTTGACATACAGCAGTAGGGAGAAAGCCACTTTAATCCAGGGGAAGGTATTTGGTGATAAATAGCTGCTCTGCTTCATTTAAAGTCACATTAATGTGCTATTACAAGGCTTAATGAATTTAAACACTCACATATGCACTTAAAGTAGTTTAGCTATTCAACATCTGTATTTTAAATAAAGAGTTTAGTTTTCATCCACACCAGCATTGCTCTAGGGATGGCAACGTCAATCTGCCTGTCGGCTAATCCACCCCGCTGGTCCAGAATAAAATATCTCAACAAATTTTTGGAGTGCTGTCATTAAAGTTTGGCCAGAATTCATGGTGTCCAGAGGATGAATCCTACTGACTTAGCCCCTGATTCTAGCTCTGTGCCACCATTCATATCACATTTGTGAGTTCAAATATCTCGACAGCTATTGAATAAACTGCTGTAAAATTTGCTGTAAATATTAAAGGCCAATCAGGAGAAATTAGAATCCTGATGAAGATCCCCTGATTTAACTTTTTGTGCCACCAGCATGTCAACATTCATGCTCAGTAAACAATCTAAACAACTACTGGAGGGACTGACACCAAATTTTAGCTAGACATTGCTGCCCAGAGGATCGATCCAAAACACTTAGGTGATCTGTTGATTTTTCCTCCAGTGCCACCATGACATTGATATTTCATTTGTCCAATATTTTGGTGTAAATATTTACAAAACTAATGACATAAGCACACATTCACAGTGTCAGCTCAATCCAGACCTTTCTTCCTGGAAGACGGCCAGGTATCCACAGGCTTCATGTCCTCATAGTCTGTCCAGTCAAAGAGTGCCATGTCCAGGGTTGGCATCACCTCTCCTTGTCCTTTTCCATGGCCAGACCTCTGAAAAATGAAACATAACATGAAGCGGCACCTTATATTTCTGATCTGTTTTTAATCATATGTTTGCATACAGGCTTATGTTCTGTATATGAAATCCACACAGGGCAGCTCCAACAGGCTGATAGGCAGATTGGTAAGAACCTAATCTAACCCGCAATTAGTTTCAGCACACTGTGTTAAAGAAATGCTTCCAGTGATATAAAAATATCTTTGTTTACATATGCAAATACAGTGGTTTTTAAAATATGAAGATGTCCATAATTGCTACCTGCCAGCATATGAGCTGGAGAAATCAGCTCCATCTCCTCAGATGAATCCTCTCTTACGTCAGTTAAACCACAGCAGCAGGAGATGACTATACTTTGATTTGCTTACTTTATTTTGCAGGTGAACACTTTCAGGGTGTACTTAATAAAACAAATTGGACATGTGTTGTGGCCAGCAGCAGTGATGCTTCAGTGATTCATAAAATGCCTTCAGAGAGACACCAGCGACACCAGCAGAGCTTTAAAACCCCATCGATTGGTAACAGAGGATGTGAGTGCCCACAGCATGGCATACAAACATACCGTATATCACAGCGTTTGGACTGTTAATACATGGACATTATAAAGTGAAACATACAGTTCATTACACCCAACTGCAGACTCTGTTACTCATCAGGGAGGAGAGAAGACAGCCTAGCTAAAGGAAAAAGATATTGTGTTAGCTGTGACCTCACAGCGTCCTAAGGACAAACATGTTTATGGTATTTTATGTATTTTAATATCCTTATCTAGATGATAGTTGTATTATTCTGCAGTGAATATTGTGCTGTGCTCTTTTGCTATGATCTCATCTATCATCTTTTGCTGTGATGGTGACAAAAGTAAGTCAGCTCAATAATAATAGCCAGATAACCAGTACACATATGCTGTTCTCTCTCTTTGACTCATTCACACATTATAAATGAATATGAAAGAACTGAATTTACTTTCTTTTACATTATCTAAGTCCTCTCTTCTGGCTCCTCACAGCACTGATCTGTTTTGATTCATTTTGAAGCAGTCACACTTGTATTTATGTTTATTGTACATATCTTATGTTAAAGATAAAGAGTGTCACGTCCAACCAAAGACAAAACAACGAGTAAAAACTCAAACACGGGGCTTGTGCACACAGATCTGCAGGATACGGTTCTTGTTACCATTGCTAACTCTGAGAGACGAGACAGTCCAAGTAACTTCAAAACAGTGCTGATTTATTCCATGAATACAGGTAAAATTAACATTACACGCTCAGGTATCTTGCACCTCCAACCTGCTCGCAGGCAGATGTAAGATGAAAGACCCTGAACCCACCAGGCCTATACATTATATCCCCTCGGTTGGGCTAGCCCCATACTACACAGAAACGTCAACCGAGACGTCTCTGTTACCAGCTTTGCAGCTGGTCATAGCAGTAGTCAAAACATGAAGCAAATCAATGTGTGTGTGTATGTGTGTTCTGTTGATTAAGTGGTGTGTAGCTAAAAACATTCTCACAGACTTCTAGTGACATGTTGTGACTCAAACATAAGAACATATTATGGCTAAGGCTACAGTTATACACGTCATAATAATAATATTAAACACCCTGTCTGCTGACAGTCATCAACTCTTCTCTCTAGTTATCCTTGACCAGATGTACCCTGTAGAAACTCATAAGCATGACTAAGCATTTAACAGTCTAACTAGACATCCTATCTCCACTAAACATTTCTAATACATAAAGTATCTATCTAATTTCTATCTGACTAAAAACACCTAACAGATCAATGAGGTTTTCTGTTATGTCTGTGCATCTGTCCCCTGTGCTGATGGGCGACAATTTGAACTCAATGGTAGGAAATATCTGGATGATCTGTGTGTACGAAACCCTCTTTTTTTGGTGCTTTGCATGTGTTTGCCAAGATACTGCTTCCCTTGTATGAGCCTTTTCATAGCAAAAGTTGGAATTCAAAAAATAAACCAATAATGATCGCTCTCTAAGTTGTCAGTAGTTTGACAGCTTTAGACTGATCCGCAAATTCAATCAAAGGTAGGAGTTTCATCAATTCACACATTCTACCTGTGTAAAATATATTCAGAAGAGTGTAAAACAAAACTCCCCTGTGAACTGCGCAGTCATAATTTTCTACAGTAGACACCATTAAACATTACTACTGTCACTTTCCTCACACTGAGGAAACCACAGAAATGTCACAGTGTAATTAAGTCAGCAGGACCTTGAGATGCCTCCTGGGGAATACTTCATCCATCAAATAATAGGTTCTTTATGGAAACAGGGTCTTATTTGTTTCCTCTCACCCTCAGGAAATAGGCCTGTATGGAAATATCAATTAGATTAATTGCAGAGGGCTACCTGCCTCTGCTCGGCTGTTCATTAAACCATCAGCAGATCGAACATTAATTAAGAAGCCTTGCCGAGTACTCATGCCACTGAACCTATACTATTTTCTTTCTTCTGGTCAAGTAATATTTGTCTGCTCTCACAGTAAAGACATGAATGGTCTCCACAAAGCAGACTGACAGTCCAGTCTGCAGACAAACACGGAGCCAGGTGCTCTTTAAATATGAATGAAAGAATGGACAGTCAGCCTTTTCAGACTGGATTTGATTGTTTGACTGTCGTCTCTAAGAATCAACGCTGAAATGAGGTAAAAATCAAGGTGACACTGTTATAACACGGCAACACTTCAGGAGTGCCGGCTGTACAAAGATTCTTACACAAGAGATGGCAGTTTGCATCCCGTCTCCTTGCAAAAATCAGCCTTAATCAGTGTTATCTGGCTAAAAGTAGGTAGCCTAATTTTTATTGATGTGGGTGAGAGAGCAGATATTTACATATGAATCAGGTGTTTCACAGTTTCATGTTTTGAAAGATGCCTTTCTGCAGACCAGATCAGAAACCACTCCTCAGGGAAGGCACTGACAAACTATTTCATCATTTAAGTTGGAGGACGTATCATTACTACCACTACTCTAATTAAACACCCTGGATAATTGTGAGGGTCCCAGGCTGAGCAAGGGCCCCTAATATATGAACACAAATGTCTGTGACTGGGTCTGTTCTGGAAGAAGGATCCCTACAGTACAGTATAACTTTGCTGCATCAACTTGGTACAAACAGTGCTTTGTATCTGGAGAAAGTGAAATCCAAATAATCAGACTGGAGTTTGGGCTCAAGACATTTCGCTCCTCGAGGCTTGTTGAGGTTTAACTGTTGTGGGAAAACGATCAGTCTTAACAGTGTACTGGTGGAGGTTGTTTATCTGTCTCCAGACAAAATTATCAGCAGTATGTGGCAACTCCTTTTTCTTTTTATAGTTCATTTTTCTGTCTCTTTCGTACATTGTCTTCAACAGAGGGCCTCAACAAAACAACTGTCAATCCAGCAGCATCCATGATCATGTAGCTATGGCTGATTTTTCCCATATGCTACAAGCTGTTGGGCGTTTGCAGCAGCAGCAGAGACAAATGTGGGCTCTGGTTTATATATCTATGACATCAGGAACCATGTTGTTGTAAAGAGTCTCATTTTGTTCCAGTGCAGAAGGAGGCACAGGAAGATAAGTGTGATTATTTTTCTCCTTATAAATGCTTTTTATGGATACTGTTGAAGCATCATGCTGCGTGAATGTGACAGGTGGTGAGCAGTGCCCCACGCACTCCTGCAGCTTTTTCATAACATGTGCCCACAGTTGGACACAAAAAAGATTTTCTGTACTCATACATTTTTTTCCTGACGTGGTTTCTAATAAAGAAACAGGAAGGGGGCTACAGAAAGTGTTCTGCTGGTCCCTGAACCGTGTGACTTTGGTCCCAGAGGTGTAGGTTTATTATACAGAACACGACCATATCTATCATGCTCACTGTGAACAAGAGTCTGGGTTTGGCCTGATGGAGGACGTTTTTCCACCAGCAGCACTTTCAGGTTCACACTGTAAAGACAGCATCATTTCCAAGATGAGCTGTGAGATTTGCGGCAGCATAACGGCAGTAATGGGGCCCATTCTCGTTCTATTCCCCCCCCCGCACACTGGAGCCACACTGAGGCACAACAGATGCAATGCTTAATAAGAACACGAGCTACATTGGAGTTACCTGGGGTTTGGTGGAGGGTGGGGGCAGCGTTGGGGGATGTTCGTTCATCACCCTACGCTGCGGGAGGGGGAGGTAGTCGAGGAGGAGGAGGGGGGATCTCTGTCCTTAAATGCAGAGCTCAGCTCAGGCTCTGGAGGAAACTCTGGAAAAAGAGAAGGAGGCAGTGTTTTACCAGTACTCAAGTTTTAGGAATCCATCCATCCATTATCTAGACTGCTTATTCCTGAATAGGGTCGCAGGGGGCTGGAGCCAATCCCAGCTGACACCGGGTCAGAGGTGGGGTCTGGACAGGTCGCCAGACTATCACAGGGCAGACATGTAGACAAACAACCACACACACTCACAATTTAGACCTAAGCTGCTTGTGTTTGGACTGTGGGAGGAAGCTGGAGTACCCGGCGAGAAACCATGCAGGCGCAGGGGGAACATGCAAACGCCGCACACCAAGGCCCCGGTCGGCTCGGGCTCGAACCCAGAACGTTCTTGCTGTGTGGCGACAGCACTAACCAACGTGCCCGCTGTGCTGCCCAGAACCCAAGAGCGTTCCATTGGAGGTTTTTCAAGCCAAATTACAAAAACATGTTTTCTCCCTACATTTATTATTGTGTCACTTACACAGTGGTTTTCATAGTGAGACATGTCTCAAAGTTTAAAGCTACTTCTGTTTGTCCAATACTGGAAACCACTGCAGTCAAGCAGAATTAGTTAGAAAGAGGTTCTCCTGCATGTCTAAATGAGCGCTCACCTTTTCCATGTCGCCCCTTGTCACGTCGACTCCCTAGTCTCCTGTGTTCAAGGTGTTGTTCATGCGCATGAGCAGTCCCGTGTCCGTGTCCCCTCCCCTTGCGAGTCCCCAGAAGGTGATTTTCTCGGGTCTGGGGCGGACTCTTCATACTCATTCGAACTCTGTCTCGGTCCTTGCCCGGGCCCATCTCCAGCCTCACTGGGCTCAGACCTTCCAGGCCTGTCCCATCGTCCTCAGGCCGAGCCAGGGGATGCAGGGACCTGTGGGAGAGCAGGCCAGCTCCACCTTTGGTCCCCTGGCTCCCATGTCCTCCACGGTCCCTATAGCCATGCCCCTGCAGACCTTGCAGAGGGTGCTGTAGGGCATTGCTGCTACCTGCTGAGGTCTGTGCTTGTCTCCTCTTGCCATGAGGCACTCCGGGCTCAGTGCAGTATGACAGCGCCAGGGTGGCAAACAGGAACGCCAGGATCAGAGTCCAGGAAAGTGCCATTGTCTGTACAGCAAAACGCCACCTGCTAGGAATAAAGAAAATATAACTGTGCACACATTCTGCTGGACACTGAAAGTAAAAGCAGATTTTATCAGCAGCAAGTAAATCTGGAGGATAGAGGATTTCTCCTGAGTGAGCACAGTTTGAAAGAAGCCAAAAGCAGTCATGAGAAGACATCAGCCTAGGTTTTAGGAAACAGTGAATTTTCTGACATTTTATAAATCAAATGATAAATTGATTAATAAAAAACAAACAAAAAAAAAAAAAACTGGCAGATCAATCACTAATGAAAATATTATTTGATGCCGCCTTCCATCCAGTGCCTTTATGAAATACTATGCACGGTGTGTATTTAAGAATTTGACAGCAGAATATCTGGGACATAAAAGGCACAGAACATTTTGGGCATTGGACACAAGAATGTAAATGGAGCCTGCCATCTTTCGATCCAGGGTTCAAACTGTTAACTGTTCTGTTAAAGGAACACTCCACTTAAACTTTATTTGCTTGTATTTGAATGCTCACTTCCTGTTCTGCTGCATTATCCATTTCTTTGTCACTGAGACATACTGTAATTCATTTTTCAGTTCTCCATGAGTTTGCACATTTCCCTACTTCAACTGAGATCTGTCGATGTCCAGCAGAAATAACATACAGTATTTAGTGATTTACTGGTGAAGTAGTAATTGTTTTGTACACAATGGGTATATGAATCAAAAGTGGAGTGAAGTGAGTTATATTTCAGGAGCTGTTTAAGGCATTTTTATTGATGTTTTGTTATGTTTTCACATTTATGGGCTGTATTGTGTATTTTTAGCAAGAGGATTTCAGTAATTTCTTCATTATTTATAGTGTTGGACAACAACAAATCAAGAATCATTTACACAAGAAAGATTTTAGAAGCTATTAAAACAGCAATTGAACAGGAGGCTTTCATTGTTCTGTGTAAACAAAAACATACAGGACTTTATTTCTAGAAAAATATGAGTCATATTGAACTCCCCTCAAAGGGACATGGCTCAGCAGGCTTTGAACTAAGCCATTTAGTGCAGAAGTACTAAAGATTTGTGTCGTCTCCTCTGCAGCATTCATCCTCCCATCACACATCCTCCAATTTCAGACACGCTCAAGCCTCTTGAGCGAGCCCATTTATCTGGACTTGGTGTGAGTCACTTGTGCTTCTGCTCAAACGACTTTCCAGCCTTCATTCCTGTACCTTCATGCCTTACTCAGTATGAGATACAGAACCACACTGCGCACATCCTTCATCGCTGTCTATTCAGAGGTCTCGAGGGCCCTCCGACCGTACCTTTCATTGCTAAAGTCAACATATCTGTGAGGTGTGACTGAACTGAAAAATGAGGTTCTGTATATCTGCATTAACAGCCCAGCACCTTGTCCACATGTGAATGAGATGATGGTGTTGGGTCTAAACACTAAGCAGTGGACTGGAAGAATTTTTCCAGCTTTATTCCCATTTTAAAGGTACCAAGCTGCAGCCAGTCAGACTCAGATTAACCTGTAGTTTAATATCAGTAAAGATGTATTTGCATATTGGCATTTAGCTGTATTTTGAGCAGTCAGTAGCCACAAAGGGAGACCATTTCCTGGGTGATGCCCATTTTGAAATCTCAGTATACTGTAAAGTATGACAGCATTTTTCTAGTATCACAGTGTCTGATTGTTTAATGCAATGAATTTATATACATCAAACTCTTTAAACAAAAATCGGCATACATCATTTTGCTAATTTATTTACTAGTTTGAAATCATTCAGAATTAAAAATCATAAAATTCATTCATGCAGAACTCAGTAAAAACCACTAAATTCTGGCTGACTATCCCCAGATTTTTATACAAACAACAAAAGTGGAATTTTTTACAGTATTTTTTATAAAACACCATATTTTCCCAATAAGGTTTCTCAATGAATTCCTGGAGAAAAAAAAAAAAATCACACATTTACTGAGTAAATACGGAAATTTTTTGTTCAACCTTTTTACCTGTGGATGGTTTAAGATGATTTAAGGAAAATTCTAAAAGGATGGTTGTAATAGTATATGTTTTGTATTAATGGTGACTATAATTCTCTTTTAAATATAAAGATTTAAAGAGTAACTGGAATTTTGTAGTTAAAAAAATGAGCTAGCTACAGTAGGAAATGTCTGGGTGTAGCACCAGCGAAGAGAAGTACGGCATGTTTTAATTGTGATCAAGAAGCTGCTCCTCGCTGTGTGTGGGTTGTCAAATGATAAAATATTCAATTATCCCCGAGCCCAATTTTCTGACACTTTTAATCATAACACCACATAATCAGATCAAGGAACACCATTTATTCTCATTTTAAAAACAGTCACATCATGTACAATGACAGGTTATGAGAAATATGATGTTGCTGGGTTTGTCTTCCTCTAATAGGCTGAGACAATCCGTCAGCACACACAACGCCATCGTGGTGCTGTGGCAGGTGACTCCTTTGTGTTTAAAGACAAACGGCGGTGTAGGCCGTACAGAAAATCAATGAGGGAGAAGTATGGAGCTGCTGGCTATGATGTGTGTGCTCTGTGTGTGTCTGTAAGGAGTCGGGGGTTGATACACTTCCTGATCTTTCCTCACACTGAAAACACACACTACTGGGTTTATAGTGGGTTATTTAGGTGTTTCTAAAAACAGGACAGAGGCAGCAGGTTGTGTGTGCATGGAGGCGGGGGTGTCGGGCAGTGCAGTTTAGTGTCCCGGGGGGGTTTAGAGGCGGACTGCATCAGTTGGTCTCTGGGAGTTCGACCAGCTGTGCAGTTTTGCAAACAGGAGTGTGAAGCTGCTGAGGTGAGACCTTCATTTCCAAACAGGCCTTCTGAGTGTCAAGGGGGAGGGAAATCAGCCATGTCATGCACAAATTGTTTAGCCAGGATTACACTACATCTGTTTGCCACATGAGGTGTTGCTGCTATCAGGTGGCCTGAATCCTGTACTGCCAATGGGGCAATCCAGTAAGAAAACAAAGTAAACATCCCAGTTTAACTGCAGCGGAGAGAGAGTGTCTGTGGGATCCCACCAAGGGTCTCCGATATGCATTTATTAAAGGGCATTTTGGGAAATGTTCTGGCCAGCATCTCCTAAGAGTTATATGAGAACAGTGATTCACCCCTCATGTCTGTACACTGGTTGTGAAACTACAGCCAGTTTGCTTAGCTCAGCACAAAAACTGGAAACAAATGGAAACACCTAGCCTACCTCCCTCAAGCTACAGCTCATGTTTTAACACGTTACAGGGCTCCAGACTAACATTTCATACTGGTGGCACTGGTGCCACCAAGTCTATATAGTATTTCTAGAATTTCACTCTTAATTAAAGGCTAATTGAAAATCAGAAAAAGCAGGTATAAAGAAAAAAGCATTAATAATGTACTGTAGTTTAAAAGAAGGCAATATTCAGTAAAACTATACTTGTCTCACATTTGGTCTCTGTGTTATCGCAGTGACACACCAAGTTCATCATACACACTCTAGGCTTTACAGTGGGCTATTTGGGCTTGTCTAGAATCGGGGCATTTTTTAGGAAGTGGAGAAGATGCGTGTGATGTCTGGGGAAATTTACGGTGTAGAAGTAATACCCAGGAAAAAACCAACAAGTAAAACTGTTTCAAATGCATCTGAACCTCAGATCCTGAGGTTGTAATGCTAAGTTAATGGATATCCGAGGACAGAAGTATATGGAGAGGAAATAAGTAGTGCAATATAAAATATAATAAAATCTTAAATCAGTTCTACATTTTTAGTAAGCCAGAGCAAGGAAACTAAAACTGGATTATTATGGTTTACATTTTATAGGAAACACGATATATGCCAGAAGCTTTTATAACCACAGCGTACAGTGTGAGACGGCCACCGGGGGAGATGTGCGTCAGAGCAGCGTGCAAAAATGTGAATGTATTAATACGAAGTGATAGGCAATCTTGCAAGAAATTGCAAAATGGGCACTATTGGAGGGCTGGATGATTAAGCTCTGATGAGATCAGAGACCTCACTCCAGTGTGTGATCATTCAGTCAGTCCCTTAAAGTATGGCAGCATTTCTGTGACACGCTCGTTACAAAAATATACTTAAGAGAAAGTGGACCCAGATCTGTTGCTGAGATGAAAAAAGGAAGCAGGAGAAGCACCAAGGCAGAGCAGGAGGTTTTAAACTGCTGCATGTGTGCATCTTTTAGCTTCACCTGCTGTGACACCAAACCTCTAGAAGCCATCTGCTCCTGTTGTTAACTCTCTCATAGTAACCAGCAGGGCCATAAGGATCCGACAAACAAAGACTCCAGAAACAGGCGGCTGAAGCAGAGCCGTCATGTCAGGCAGAGCCCACCTTCATGACTCTTTTCTTTTCCAGGCCACATGCAAAGATTAGAGATTTAAATCAGGGCTACTCTCCTGCTGATTAGTGTCAGAATTACTCAGGAGAGAATATCTACTGGAGCAGAAAGTCATCAAACATCTATTAATCGGACTTTTGAATATATGATCAATTTGCAAATGTATCACACGCTGTCTAAAAGAGACCCACAGGTCACTCTGGGAGTGTGTGGCTGCATGGGAACAAGATAAATCTCTCCTTTCAGCTGCATGGTTCACTGAGCAGCAGCTCAAGCATCTGCTTTAAACAGACACAACAGATAAGAAGAAGAAAAGTGCAAGATTAAATGGTGACAAAGGAAAATACATTATCTGTTTTGTCACAAATACAATTCAGCTTTTCTCCAAACAGAGACATGAATAATTGATGCATAAACACTTACTTTTATAGCTTTCAACCTCGGGTAAAATAGGTCTAGTTTGCACCACCAAATTATCATAAATATCTGCTCAATAACAAGCTCCCAAATTGCAGCTCCAGTTAATGCCTCCGCATAATAAACGCCTCTGCCAAACTGCAGTTAATGCCACAGAACTTTATTTCTTCAAGGGCCAACACCACTGACTTCAGCTATATAAAAGTGCTTTGTCTCTTCAGAATCCTCAGTGAATAATATTGGTGGGACTCACTCATCAACCGTGAGGATTTTTTTTTAAAGCTTTCAGGTGAGTATTGGATGGCAAAGACCCCTGGAAGCAACACAGCTGTCAGCAAGTGAGCCGGAGCAGAGAGCAGGGAGACAACAAATGACTCGGTGGTAATTTGGTTGCAGGTCCAACAGATGTGACACAAAACCAGAACATTGTCACTGATGCATGACAACATGGGTGACATCCTGTGATGTGTCCTTTATCTCTGGTTTGAGTGCACCGAGGCCCAGACACACATTTTCACCCACTCGCAGAGTTTCCCTCTGTTACAATCAATACATGCACACAAATCCAAGCTCACAGCAGGGAAACCTCTTCTAGACACCCACATAGAGGCGTGTTCCAAAAATGCTGTGAGACACAAGAAGCAGCAAGCGGCATCCCACAGAGAGAGGAGAGAATGAGAGAGACAAAAGAGAGGAGGAGGGAGAAAGTGAGAAGAAAGGAGAAAATAAGATGTTATGCTGAGAGACAGAGAGAGAAAGTGAGAAAAAGCAGAGCGGGAGGGAGAGGAGAGAAACGGAAATCAAAGTGGGGGAGAGAGACAGAAGGAGGATTTATTGTGTCTTAATTAGAACAAAGTGTCGGTGGCATCTTCCATTTCAAGGCAGATAAGGAAACCAGCTGAATCTCCTTTAACACACAAAAAACAACAACGCTTTGCCTTCCAAAACCAACAACAAAACTTGTTCTTTGCTAAACCATAAAATCTGCACCTGGGTCTGTATCTGGACATTCTGCATGAGAACGGTTTGACCGGTCAGCAGAAGTGAGGATTAAGTGAAACATACAAAACACATTATATGAATCCAGTGTTTCTCGAGCGGGGTTGACTGTCTGCCAGTGCTGAAAGTTTTAATCAAAAAGATGCAGCCATGATGTTCGAGTTTCACATCAGGGTGGATGAGACTAAATGAATGTTTTGCAATGTAGCTTTTCAAATGGTGTGATTCTTTTGAGGTTTTCTGAATTGTTTGGTACTTTTATATTAGATCCTCTAAATCTTACAGCTAAATGATGAAGGTTTTGATTATTTCACTCAAAAAAAACGAATCCAAAATCTTAAATCAGTTTCCAGTTGAATATGAAATAATGTCAATGTCTCCCTTGGCAAGTTTTTCATTTCCATTTTATTCACATATTAGTAAATCTGAGCTAGTGTTGTCCCAAGGTCGACTCACTATGGGGTCCCTGCCTGCTTCTTCTGATCACTTCTAATGCTTCCCTACTGACTGACTTGCTATTAATTAGCATTACCTCATTAACGTGAACCCACAAATGTGGCTCCTTTGCTGTATGCTTCGCTTGTAATTGCATGGCATCACACTGAGACTCCCAACTTTAATCTCACCCCTCCCTGCCTGCCTATCTCTCTGCCTCTTTATGCATTCCCTAGACCCCTTGCCCTAACATTAACCACCAGAACTAAATGCCTAACCATAACCCTTAACCCCTAAAACCAAGTCTTAGACCTCAAAAAGCTTTTTCAGAAAGTGAGGACCGGCCAAAATGTCCTCACTCTGTAAAAAACAAACAAAAGCCCCCAGTTTCACTGTCTTTGGTGTGCAGTGAGGAAAATGAGCTGTCACGAAGAGCATTTTGCTGCAATCATGTCTGATTCTCCTCATCATTCATCCAATAAATTCTTTTGTAATTGATCTGATTTTAAAGCATGAGAGAAGAAAACACAAACAAAACCCGGTTATCGGGTTAAATCCATTTTCCGGTATCAAGACAAACCTAGTTTGCTGTTTGCAAATAGCTATTCCTGCTCTCGGCCATTTCTGCCAGTCAAACAGCCTTTTGGTCAGTAAAACTTGAAAGGGATCATTATTCGGTTATTAACTTTTGTGAAATTATTCAGATGCGACATTTTGCGTTTTTACGCGCAGACGGAAATCATGGCAATCAGATGGTACAGTCCAGAAACAGCCTGGGATAACTATCATAATCGTTTTGATACAGATTTCGGTCAGAACCGAGAACTAGGCTTAGACCGACTGTTATACGAGTGACATAAAACAAGGTACAACGGGTAGCCCAATATAAAATATCGTGAATTTCATAAAGTGATTGCCAAGCCATTTGCGCATCACAGAAACTCCACAAAATCATACAAGGGGGTAAAAAGATAATGGAACGATTTAGGATTAAACCTACAAAGTGGTCGGCTAATAAGCACAAGCATTAATGCAGCTTTGTATAAAGATAGGCACTTACCTTACGTTTGTTTGTGGTTGTATTTGTTTTGTTTGATGTCGTTTCTGGTTTGGGAAGCAGCTCAGTCATATGGCTTCAGGAGAACAGGACAGAAACACGGCGCAGCAGCAGCAGCACCACCTCTGTAGTCCGCTCTCCGTGCAGCCCGGGATGTACCGAGCATCCGGACTCTCTCCTGCTTTTTTATGAGGAGGAGAGTCACCGGCTATGTGTGCGCGCCCCCGAGTGCGCGTCGCCCATGCCTGACTGTTCTCTGAGGATCTTGTCGCAGCCCGCGAGACAAGGACAGAACGAGAAAGTACTGAATTAACCTTTATATTGTGGTGGTGCATTGGTAGTAGAAGCATAAGAGAGAGAGAGAGATCAGAAGAGATTCATGAGTCATCCATGATGTTTCCACACAACTTGTTAAAAGGGTTCCTCAAAAAGGAATCCCCTCCACTGGAACCAGGGAAAACCTCACTAAACTTGGCTTACAATTAATTTGCACCTTCAGTTCCAGTTAAAGTAAATCTTAACGCTACAGCAGGCAGTTGCTTCTTTGAGTCAAAAACTTAGGGAAGGCCCTTTGCCGTTTCAACAGGCGTCCGTGCATGATGTCCATAAAGAAATGGTTTTTGAGTTGGTTAGAACTTGACTGGTCTACTAGGACCCCTGATAGGAGCACAGTCTGTGATCTTGTTTATCTACTGTATATGAAGGTCTACTACAGGGGCCAAAACCTGCAAATTCACTAAATAAATAAACAGAATACTTCAGTGGAAGCTATGACCTCAAATCTAACACCTGGAGTAAACAACCACACCAATGCTCTTGTGGCTAAATGGGAGCAAATGCCTGTAGACCCCTGTAGCCTGCTGGTTTTCCCAGAAGAGCGGAGGCTGTTACAGTATAGCATGCCACAGCACAATTGCATCTTGAATCAAATATACATTTTCTGAGTAACCAGCCCAAGAACCCTGCAGTAACTCCTTCACTAAATTTCAGTGGTGAGTTTGGTTTTTATACGGTTGGTGTCCTCTGCAGTGAAGCCCTGTAATTGCATTTTTCATGGCCTGTCCTTTCTCAGTCTAACAAACTCAGCTGACTGCAGAGCCCCTGCTAAAACTAATTCTAAATCTACACAATGAACGTGCTGTGCATCAACACTCTTAATGCTGTATATTTGAACAATGATTGCATATAGTGGAAATCACTTAAGGGAATTGGCTGACATTTAGAATTTTAGCCTGTTATTTTGTTTTGTGTATCTGCTCAAAAAAATGTGCTTATTAGCATTATTGAAACCAATGAACAAGCTTTTGGGCTGAATACAAACAATGCTGACAAGCCACTTAGTAAAGTGTGACTTTAACAGAGTGGGGCCGAGTCTGCTGAAGGGAGATAACAGGCTAAAACTGAAAATGTGTACCGAGTGCTCCAACGTTTTACTGCGTGAAGAGTCCAACTTTGACTCCGAGTGTACTTGTGTGCTTTGTGTATAAAACATGCACTCTGTAGTGATATTTGTATGTTTTTTAACCTTTATTTGTTAAGAGACAGTCCACTGAGAGGCCGCCTCTCTTTTTCAGGGATGTCCTGTTCACATTCACACAGTTACACATTCACATCTGGAAGCTGCCCAGTGCAACCACAGACCGATCTGTGGGCATTGAGCAGCTGAGGGCACCACAGTGGTGTCAATGAGGGTGGTGCAAATGCTGCTTTGTCACCTGCCCCACCCAGATTTCGTCCTGCTGGTCCCGGGATTAAACCGGCAACCCTACAGTCATAAGTTTGTGTCGCTAACCTTTAGGTCACCAATGCCCCATTTGTAAAGTACTTTCAGGATAAAGCACATTTCTTAATTTATCCATATCTATCATGATTTTACTGGGTATCACGCCTGCAATGCTAATCTCACAGTGAGTATTCCTGATACTAAAGACAGTGACTTTTTTGGCGTCTGTCTCAAATTGAGATTTCCACATATTGTCTATTGCATACAGTCTATGTCAGGTGCACAGGTCACTGTGCACCAAGACAACCAGGCACAGGGACAGTTTCTTCCCCCAGGCTGTCAATCTGATGAACACTTGACCCACGACAGTATGACTGGACAATAACCCTCAGTGCAATACCTGTGTATCTATACATTGTACAGATTATACAGACTCGTACAGGTCTCTAGTTTTAAGTACTCTGTCTTTATCCCTTTTATCTCATTTCAATGAACATTCCTTTGTTGTCTGCATTGTTTACCGTCTGTTTATACTACTTATTCAGCATTGTTTGTACTGTTTGTTGCTGTCAATGCTGCTGTTAATACTGCTTATTTTGTTATATTACACAGCCTTATGCTGGTTTACGTCGATGTACCTGAGTCAAATTCCTCGTGTGTCCGTCACACCTGGCCAATAAAGCTGATTCTGATTTGTCAAGAGCAGCTCTAATAGCATTTTGAATACAGCCCCCGTAGCTCCTGTGAGACTGAAAAAGGTTTTCAGAGCTCCTGATGGGAGTTGGTGTCTGTGGTACACATTCCAAAACAAATGTATTCTCACAGGATCAGATTCTGCAGCACTGCCAGTTAACAGTATCTACAGGTAATCCAGGTAATCCAGATGGGTGGAGTTTGTCACAATTGTCACAATATATCAGTTGACAATGGTGTGTGGCTCAACTTTATTGTTCTTTGCAGCAATAAATATACTAAACTAGCAGCTAAGACAGACTGCACAGGACACATTTTCCACCTACACTCTAACACCATGTGCTACAGTTATAATAAGGATAATCACCTTTATTTGGCCAAGTATGTTACACACAAGGAATTTGTTTCCGGTACAGAACTGAGGCAGCCATCTGCAGCATCAACTCACACCAACGGCTCTAACCATCGGGGACAACTTGGGGGTTCAGTGTCTTGCCCATGGACACTTCGACATGTGGACTGTAGGCACCAAGATTCAAACCTCCGACCCTCCAGTTGGGAGACGACAGCTCTACCCACTGAAGCACAGTCGAGGCGTTGGTGAGTATATGAATCAGATAAATCAAAATACTTAATGGTTGGAATATGCATTACTTCATTATGTCTTGTATAACTTGTAACACTATTCATTTTTTATTGAAGCCGATGTTGAATAATACTAGTTATGCCAGACAGTGAAAGCCACAGGAGTGTGGCCTATTTTCAGACCATTTCAGTATTTTATATTACTTGAATATCGCGCAGCACAGTCAGCTCCATCCTTTCACTACATTATGCAAAATAAATCACTTGCAAATAATAAATGTCCAGATACACTCAAATCTGTGAGGCAAAAGTTATTACAAATTACTAAGGAGACACAAGACAAAGGGACTGTATTTACAGGTATCTATAATAATGCGCCACACAAAGTACAGCGCTGTATGTTGAAGGTCACCTGACCAGCCAAATTGATGTTGTTTCTCAGAATCCACAAAAGGTTCAGCTGTGTTGAATTCAAAGCTCAAGTAAAAAGGGTCTTTTGAAACCAGTGTTTACTGTAACTACAGTAATTAGTGTTATGCAAACGGTTATAGTCAATGCTGCACTGTGTTCTCAGGGCCTGTGGTATCAGCATGTTGTCAGCCTTGACTATACCCACAAAGTCATAAAGGGAAAAGGCGCGCATTGAATGGTCTGTCCTGCTGCAGAAAGACGTTATGGTAGCTGTTACTTTGTGCCTGGTCACATTCTCAGTGCATAAAAAAAAAAAAAACTATTTCCTCTTGAGAAGAAATAAAGCAAGTGATTCAGAAAAGGTAAATGCTTATTGTAGTGCAGTTTACCTCCAAACTGAACTACTCTGTGAGGCTGCACTAAAATGCTCACACTGACAATGCTAACATTCATGTTATCGTGTACCATGTATTTTAGTTTAGATTGTCAGCATGCGGGCATTTGCTAATTAACAATAAACACTAGTGCACAGCCGAGGCTGATTAAAATGTCATTAGTTTTGTAGGTATCTGACCATAATCAAAAGTACTGGCGACTTTCCAGCTGCCATCAGACTCCTAAACAGCGGACTCAGGATCTACCTCATGTAATTCCATCTGTAGTGTTTACATACTCAGTTTGCACATGCATAATTGCACACTCAGTGCTGAATATTTGCACTTCACGGCTCCCACGTAGCATATATTCTCTCTACATTATCTTGTGTTCTTGTATTTTTATTGCGCTTCTTTCACTTGCTGCTTTAAAGTGCCTTAGATTTGTGTTACTGCCTATTTAAATTTGTGTTATTGCTCATCTACTTTATATTTCACTTGTATTTTGTGGCATTCATGTGGACGGCAAAGTAAGAATTTCATTGTACAGGGAAACACGTTTCCTAACTGTGTATATGACAAATAAACACTTTGACCTTTGACCAAATTAAAATTTTGATCTGGTTTTAGATGAAAAGTTATTATTCTTGAGAAGAACATGAATGTGTGTATCAAACATCATAGCAATCCATCCATAAATTGCTAAGACACTTCCTTTAAAACTGTTCACCTGCTGCCGGTGCTAGACGAAAACTCAGGATGTCACTGATGTCATCGGGGTCAAGGCAACCAATACAGATCAGTGGCCAGTCTGACAGATTCCATTAGTTTGACTAAAAACATCACAACTTTAAGTTTGTTCTGACTGCGTCTTGTTTATATTTCTGGGTTATTTTGCTGTTTTAAAATGTTCGTCTGTCAAATACTGCTGCTATTGTGCCTGTCTGGTGCGAAATTGGCTTTTTATGTAACTATATTTCGTCCAAATATTTGGTGTACCCCTAACAGATTATCAAACAGGCTTACTGGGCACAGCCAGGGATGCCTGAGCCCTTGTCCCCTCGCCAGAGCTTCTGTTTGAAGTGACTGTTGTGGAAGCATCATGGGGTTCAGTTAAAACAGAGATCTCCTGACTGTGTTTTCTCCCTTGACCCTGTTTATACAACATTTCATTAAAACAGTACATTTAGAAAAAAAAAATGTAAATCAAACTATTAGAGTAGCTTAGATTTAAAAAGATGCAACAGTATTCAAACTGCCTTTTGTAGATTGTTGCATATTGTATTTTTAGATTTTGTGCAGTAGTATTTTTGTAGAGGAGAAATATTTGAGTTTAGGTGCAGTTCTGATTCACCTGTCTGGATGTCTTGCTCATACTCGGGAGGGAAGGGGATCCACTGTCTCATAATCCATCTATGGATGCTGGATGAAAGCATTCCTGTCTGGACATTGTAAAGAAAGGAAGAAAAACATAAACAGACAAAAACTGTAGCTACAACACAATGAGAGCAGACCTTATATGTAGATGTCACTAAACCCAAGAGAGCGTCCTGCAGAACTGCTATGTGTATGTTGGCATACAGAATGATGAGCGAGGGGAAAAGCAGGAGGACCCCCTGCCAGGCCTCCTCGTGCATTATCAGCTCACAGCTCCCCAGCAGGCATCAAGCATCGCATACCAGGGTGTTGAGCTTCCATATCGCCAGGGGCAGGTTCGCTTTTTAATATGGGGAGACTGTTAACTCTCCCTGTTTCTCCATGCGACTACAAACTCCCCTGACACAAAGAGAATTGAACACACACACATTTAGAAAAGAAAAAAAAAAAAAAGATCACAGTTTAATAAAAATGATTGTCAGAAGAATAATACACAAAAGCAATGAAAGTCCATATGTCAGGCAACTGTAACTTTGGAAAATTCTTTCAAACCAAGGCTTTTAAAATCTGACCTTGCTTTGATTTCAGATATTACGATGAAATCACCAACACAGTCAGTGCCTTCACAATCACACAGGGTTCGTTACAACTATGTGCTGTGGTAATATTGCCTTCAAACAACTGCATTTGTGATTTAAGGATCGATGATAGTGTGTACTCATACATGCCCGTTACTAACAGTGAATGCTGATGCCACAGACAGCTCAGTGACACTACCTGAAATATGCAGTGTGAATTTTGACACCAAGCACCTTAGGAGAGATCTGAGAAATGATAAAAACCTACCAGACAGCAGAGCACTGCCACCTAGTGGGTGAGCACGGCCACATTTCTTCAAAATCTGTGATAAAGTGCTGCTTCTGCTACTGATCAATAATCTGCCTGATGCCACTTTACATCTACACAAATGACAGTGATTTGTGTGTGTTTTAATCTCAGTTCATTTGCTGGCAGTCAAGGAAAAACAGGAAATACATGGGTTCTTCCTAGTCTATGGCATAAGATTGCTGGGAAACAACAAGCAGATGCTGAGTAGTACTATAGTCTCCAAAAGACACTAAAGCAGTCTGAGTGAATGATGCTTTTATCACATCAGCCTCAAGGCACATTAAAAACACCTTATGTAAAAAGTGTTACCGCTGAAGGCTGTAATTACTCCTGCAGCTCTCTCCAACACACATACCAATGAATCTCATTTGCCCATATGGGTGCAATGACATGCACTGGCAGCATGACAGTAACTGATACCCTTCTGTTTTTGACTCATTTTTCTAAAAGCTGAAGATCTCATCCGTCATCAAGTAATTTTTTTTTGTTACTGAACCCAGCCAGTGATTAATTTCATACTCCAGGTGCTGAATGAGTTCAATATGCAGCCATGATGGTAGCAAACTAAGTGATTGTACAAGCACCTGCAAGAAAGCCTTATGAAATCAGTGCAAAAATCAGTAATGTTTTAGACCAAAATGTAAAACCTTTAAACCTGCCTGAATGTTAAACTCAGTTTTATAATCTCTCAGTCACTCGGTGGCAGTGTACAGTTGTCATCCTTACATTCAGAGCTCCAGCTAATGAG